TAAGACACGAGGATAGGAGTCGAGGAGGGGAGTTAGAGAAATGAGAAGCCTTCATGGTGTTAGTGGGACCAATAGTGGTTAAATAAAGGTATAAAATGGCAGTTTGTTCGTACACTAACTTCTCATCGTGACTCAAACATCTCAACAACTACTGGAAGGCATGACTTTTTGTGGAGACCTTCATGTTCCCAAGAGCAGTGGTTCCCAACCTTTTTTCCCAAGAGCCCCCCCAAATTACTCCTGTTGGAAGTTGCGCCCCCCCCCCACACACACACACACAAGGGGGGGGGGTGCAACAGCGGTAATTAAAGTTTAAAAGTCTCAAAATGCTACAACTACTGTCACAAACTGGATGAAAGTGAAGTATGTTGTTAAAGGAGGATGAAAGCGTAATTAAGGAGCACTATTGGAGTGACTTTGATGGTTATTGGACTCAGGATTAATTCATTTGGATTCCCGCTGAACGAAGAAATGAAAGGACGGCACAAGTGGAAACAATTCACAAAGGGATTAAACTGTTTAAAACACATGCTCAAAGTAAACTGGATTTTGCCGATGTGTTTATGTGGATTCAAAAGTCGTAAATAATCTACAAAATGGAGGAGACCGATCTGATCGGAGCAACTGACAAATAATCCAACTGAAACCGGCATGGACAATGACTATGTTTTTAAAATGCGCTTATCCAGAAAAGCCCGGTTTGGACACTTAACGCGCAGAAGAAACATTTCTATTAAAGAAAGAATTATACATTTCTATTTTATGCCTTTAATACTAACTTGAATTTTTATTAAAATTAATTAGCTACATTTCTTTTATATTTTATTGTAATGTAGAGACCCCCAGGTTGGGAACCACTGCCTAAGAGGATAGCTTTTAACAACACCCTTACATGTTTCACTTATGCTTTGTGTAAACAGGCTTTTGCTGCATCACATTCTGGCTCCTTCACAGCTCCTGAAAACAATGAATTCCTCAAAGAAGTTGTGTTCACTGGGTTTGCTCCACCATCTTTATGCCCCAGCTCTATTGTTTCTGCAGTAGCTTTCTGAAGCATGAAATTAACTTGTTTATTGACTTTGTTTATTGGTTATTGACTTTAAATGAATTCTTATTCAGACTTTTCATTTGTTACCGATGTTGTCTTCATAGACAAAGCAGCTAGTGAGAGACACAATGTTTAGACCAATTGATGCATGGCAACAATGTTCTCTTTTCATAACAATTAAGCCCCTTTAAATTGAATTGAGAAGAAGAGAAGCGTCTCTTTCTCTAATCCTCCTTTTAGTGGCTTCTTATCTCTCTGATCTCCAATAATGTGTTTTACTGTAGACAAATTCACAATATAGTCATTCTCATTTACATATTTTCAGTTACTGCCATCAACAGGATGATTGTGAAATTGGATCGCAGCTCACACAATACTATGTTGACCAGCAGGCATTAGCGAGCTGCAGATAGCTTCATTACTGCACGATCACGCCATCATCAGAGTAAATAAACAACTATATTGACATTTAAAAAGAGTGATCACAGAAGAGCTTTGAAACCACACACATTTGTCACATTGAAGAAGGGCCAATAAGCATCTGTTGCCACATCTAAATGAGCTGAATGTGTGCTTATGTTGGTGAAACAGAGAATGTTGGTTTTAAGTCAATGGCACAGCTATCGGATGGATTGCCGTGGCATTTGGTTCAGACATCGATGTCCCTCTCAGGATGAATTGAAATGACTTTGTTGATCCCCTGATCCTTTATTCAGCTCCATTATCAGGTTTCTTGTCCAATACTTTGGTTAAAATATCTGCAGAAGTGTCCCATAAACACCAGCTGCACTATGTGGCTTTTTTTTATATTATGAATGAAAATAGTCACTTATTCAAATACACGGAGCCAAAGCTAAGCCTCACACTACTTATTCACATGCTAGAGTTCTTCGAAGTCCTTTGTCCTGTGATGCTTTTTGGGGTTTTCCTTTAAAGGGTTTTATAGGTTTTGGTGCATGGGCTAAAATCCCTGCCTGAAACACCTCCATTGGACTCCTCTGTTTACTCACATCACATGTCATTTGATAGACGCTTTTATCCAAAGCGACTTACATACATTCAGTACTGTGGACAATCCCCACAGGAGCAATTTGGGGTGAAGTGTCTCAGGGACACAACGACATGCTGAGTCCAGCACACTATCCACTGAGCCACATCCTCCCTACTTCTGCAACATATTGACATCATACGTAACTCTCGCACTTCTATTAGCTAGCGTTCCAAAACATTGTACGTGATAAGGGGCGGGACATCTCTAAGCGGTTGATCAATTACAACAGAGCCGGGCAGCTAACCAATCAGAGCAGACTGGGCTCTGGTTTCAGACAGAGGGTGAAAAGAGGTGCTGCAGCACAGGCAGTATGAGAAAAACAAAGAGCTTTTTGAACATTAAAGCATGGAGACATGTAGAGACACTACATACTGATATACACCTGAACATCAGCAGGAGAGGACTCTTTAAAGTAGAGACACTACATACTGATATACACCTGAACATCAGCAGGAGAGGACTCTTTAAAGTAGAGACACTACATACTGATATACACCTGAACATCAGCAGGAGAGGACTCTTTAAAGTAGAGACACTACATACTGATATACACCTGAACATCAGCAGGAGAGGACTCTTTAAAGTAGAGACGCTACATACTGATATACACCTGAACATCAGCAGGAGAGGACTCTTTAAAGTAGAGACACTACATACTGATATACACCTGAACATCAGCAGGAGAGGACTCTTTAAAGTAGAGACACTACATACTGATATACACCTGAACATCAGCAGGAGAGAACTCTTTAAAGTAGAGAAGCTACATACTGATATACACCTGAACATCAGCAGGAGAGGACTCTTTAAAGTAGAGACACTACATACTGATATACACCTGAACATCAGCAGGAGAGGACTCTTTAAAGTAGAGACACTAAATACTGATATACACCTGAACATCAGCAGGAGAGGACTCTTTAAAGTAGAGACACTAAATATTGATATACACCTGAACATCAGCAGGAGAGGACTCTTTAAAGTAGAGACACTACATACTGATATACACCTGAACATCAGCAGGAGAGGACTCTTTAAAGTAGAGACACTACATACTGATATACACCTGAGCATCAGCAGGAGAGGACTCTTTAAAGTAGAGACGCTACATACTGATATACACCTGAACATCAGCAGGAGAGGACTCTTTAAAGTAGAGACACTACATACTGATATACACCTGAACATCAGCAGGAGAGGACTCTTTAAAGTAGAGACACTACATACTGATATACACCTGAACATCAGCAGGAGAGGACTCTTTAAAGTAGAGACACTACATACTGATATACACCTGAACACCAGCAGGAGAGGACTCTTTAAAGTAGAGACACTACATACTGATATACACCTGAACATCAGCAGGAGAGGACTCTTTAAAGTAGAGACACTAGTACATACTGATATACACCTGAACATCAGCAGGAGAGGACTCTTTAAGTAGAGACACTACATACTGATATACACCTGAACATCAGCAGGAGAGGACTCTTTAAAGTAGAGACACTACATACTGATATACACCTGAACATCAGCAGGAGAGAACTCTTTAAAGTAGAGAAGCTACATACTGATATACACCTGAACATCAGCAGGAGAGGACTCTTTAAAGTAGAGACACTACATACTGATATACACCTGAACATCAGCAGGAGAGGACTCTTTAAAGTAGAGACACTAAATACTGATATACACCTGAACATCAGCAGGAGAGGACTCTTTAAAGTAGAGACACTAAATATTGATATACACCTGAACATCAGCAGGAGAGGACTCTTTAAAGTAGAGACACTACATACTGATATACACCTGAACATCAGCAGGAGAGGACTCTTTAAGTAGAGACACTACATACTGATATACACCTGAGCATCAGCAGGAGAGGACTCTTTAAAGTAGAGACGCTACATACTGATATACACCTGAACATCAGCAGGAGAGGACTCTTTAAAGTAGAGACACTACATACTGATATACACCTGAACATCAGCAGGAGAGGACTCTTTAAAGTAGAGACACTACATACTGATATACACCTGAACATCAGCAGGAGAGGACTCTTTAAAGTAGAGACACTACATACTGATATACACCTGAACACCAGCAGGAGAGGACTCTTTAAAGTAGAGACACTACATACTGATATACACCTGAACATCAGCAGGAGAGGACTCTTTAAAGTAGAGACACTAGTACATACTGATATACACCTGAACATCAGCAGGAGAGGACTCTTTAAAGTAGAGACACTACATACTGATATACACCTGAACATCAGCATGATATGGCCCCTTTAATGTATAACTTTTGAAGTAATAAACAATGCTATACAACTCTGTACGGCATAGTACTTATACAGGGCCGTCCTACAGGCCGATCATGCAGACTGCGTGGGGCCTCATCTTGCGGAGGGTGCCTCAACTGAGCCGAAAATGTGGCACACGCGCTCCTATGCGCTTATGCGGCGCAATTAGTGTGGCACGGCACGGTTTCGCCGCTGCGAGGCCCCCCGTCAACGCTTGCAAAACAGAGGGCCTCATCATATAACTTTGCGTGGGGCCTCATGTTGGCCCTGTACTTATATTACGTTCTACTGAGAAATACTCAAAAATATAACCTCACTTACATACGATGATGCAACACAATCATAGTCCAATTGCTGCAATTATTACAAACACAATCTAACACTTAATTAGATCTAAATTCAGTGGTTTGTAAGTAAATGTGTTTTTTTTGTGTTTGAGTGGAAAGATGTCCCAGTAGAGACACTGAATACTGATATGAACCTGGAAAGGAGCATAATACGACCTCTTTAAAATACTTTTAAAGTTTATAAACCACATTGGATTTGAGTTACACTAACAACGCAAGTGCAAGAACACGAACAATGAAAACACACAATGAAAATGCTAAAGACAATTTATTAGTAGACAGAAAATAGCCAGAAATAATAACCTCCTGTAGAATGTCTTCCTGAAATACACCATTTGATTGGCAGTGTAAAATAAGGCAAAGGGCTTAAGATCATATTTTATACACTTTTGCACCAACAATTAACAGTTATACATTCACTTGTTACTGTAATTACGCTTTTGATAAATCTGTCCATACACCCACATACCAAGAAAACTTTATTAGCAGGGGCGGGGCGGGGGGGACGGAGTATTTGCAAGAGTAATACTCGTCTTAATGCAGTAGCTTTTTGCTTTTGGCTATACCTAGCTACATAGAATCTGACCACAAACTAAACAAGGATTAGATTTTGGAATTGCAAAAGCCAACACAGTATACTGACAAAAGTTCATACAATTACCATCACCGTGAAAGGGTACTACCACCAAAATTGTTAAAGATTGATTATAGTGTGTATAGGGTAGTATTTTGTTACATAAAACACATTTCCAGTGAGCTGCAAAGCGTATAGCTACTATATAGGAGACTAGCCATAGGTCGTTCCCAGCGTCACAATTAATAACGTTTGCATCGTGCCCTCTGCTAAAATATTCTGCTACTCACTTTGGTTGTTGCCGGGCTTCACACTTTAACTTGATTTAAGTTATTAAATGTATTTTCAACGTATTTCACTGTATTTACCCCAATATATTAATGTATAAACCAAGATTTAAACTCAGATCTTTGGGGGACAAACCTCACCTGTCAGTCAATATAATCTTGGATATTTACAGTACGTGATCATGTGCTGGATTGTCCTTTTTTTAAAACCTCATTAAACCTTATTGTATCCAAGACATCTGAGTCTTAGAAAAACTGTTAGGAGAGCCCTAATTTAAAACAGTTTGAGTGCTCTCTGCGCTGATTTCACTTGTGCACATCGTCATGTGATCTGACCTGCATGAAGGAATAATTCATGAAATAAAGATTCTACTTTTCGTGCCAGCTGGGAGGTGTGTTGGGAATTTACCTTAGCAGTGTAGCATGTTACCCACACACAAAATACTATACCTTCAAATTGTGTCTTTTAGCAGTTGTGTATACAAGTATTCAATAGGAAACAAATTGTAAATCACACACACACACACACACACACACACACACACACACACACACACACACACACACACACACACACACACACACACACACACACACACACACACACACACACACACACACACACACACACACACACACACACACACACACACACACACACACACACACACACACACACACACACACACACACACACACACACACACACACACACACACACAGACAGAGGAGTTGCTATGTGTAAAAATGTCATGGTGGTGGAATGCAGCTCATCTGTACAGGGTCTATCTTCATATTGAGAAGAACAGATCAGGGATAATAATTACAGAGCTAATTTACAAAAATGCATATACCCATTATCCTTTCTAAAGAAAAACTATTATTTCGTTACAACCAAAGTACAGAGGGGAATCAATTCTTCAATGCAGTCATTAAGTTTCTTCAGAGTTAGCATGTGGTTTGTAGCTGGTGGATATTTCGTTTTGGAAAGAAACTCATCTGGCACACAACAACTCTACACTATTACTGAAAGAACAACAAATGACATCAAAAAGGAAATAAATGTACTACCTTCACCATAACCACGGAATATATACTGTATATTTTAGAAATACATATAAAAATATAGAGTCATCTGAATGCCCATTATACAATTGTACACAGTAGTGTCAGAAAAAAGCCTATATGGTGGTGTAGAGTAGATGTGTTACATACAGATGGTGTAGAGAGGCTGATGGTGTGAGAAGTGATAGCTGTTCAGGGCGTGTTTAGTTTGCACACACTCTTTAAAAATGTCCGAATCGTACATTTTAAACTGTCAGAAAGTCTGTTTTTGTGTTTTTGTTGTTGTTGACTTTTACCCGCCATCAACATAATCTAGTAACTGATTGATTATCAAGTCTGTAACACTGATAGGCATTAGTAAATATTGGCAGCCACACATAATACCCTGTAAATACCTGGATGTCCTGCATTAAACTACAACCACCCAAGTAAATACCTCTTAGTGACCTACAGCACAGCACATGTATGTGTTAGACAAAAGCACAACGTTAGAAGTACAAAAATGCTACAGTAAGTGCACACAGCTTCGGAGTGGGCCACACTTGACAGATTTATACAATTTATAGTGTTTCATTTTCTTACAGTTTAGCATCAGTAAAACCATTCACATGAAATACCTGCATTAGTATTCATTGATACATAGAGGTATAGTTATGCCCAACATACTGTAAGTCAAAAAGAACATTACATGAGTCCAAATCGCAGGTTATTACGTTGATTATTAGATTTTCCTCATCTGATTTCAAACAGGAACCGTACCCACTATTGTTGTGCATTATTTACGGTTGTTCTCATACATTGTATCTAGAACAAAGAATGATTTTTTCATAAACTTTACATTCAAGTTTTGTTGCCGGAAGCGAATCAAGTTTCTAAAAATTACTGGATGCATTTAACACTGAACATTTGAACACTGTTCATAAGTTATCATACGAAGCGTCGGTATCTTAAAGGTAGATAATAGGGGCTCATATAACATACTGTTTTGTATAAATCACTTCAGACTGAAGTAGTGTGATAAAAACCTTAATGGAATTGCACCCAAGTGGAACCTCAAATCATAAAAAGCATTTGAAAATCTGATTTGACTTAAAGGATATTAGGCATAATTTTAAAGCTTTTCACAAGCATAACATTTATCAATGTAATATTCTACCTCACCATGTGCTAGTAGGGAATAAACAACTTCCTACAAGGGCAATTTAGAGTTGTTGTTAGTACAAGAACCTTTCATCTCATAGTCGTCTGAGAACGAAGAATCTTGTAGAAATTTTTACACAAAAGGCAGCTTTTTCGGAGGAAGTTCAGTCTCTCTGATGCCTCTGCTTAGATCCATGTGAGCATGTGAATTATGATTTCTATCATGGTAGCGATGAAGACGTGGAATGTAACTGTGATTCAAGAGTTGATAGGAGTTAGTTAATATAAATCTTTAAAAGGTTTAGTGTAGTTAAACATCAAATAGTCTGTGTAGTAGAAGTCATAGATCCGCTGTCTCTCCAACGTGCTGACCTGTGAAAAGTATTTCTCTGTGATCTGCGTAGAGGTCCTCTTATCGGCTGGGTTCCTATCTTTAAAATTTGGCAGCTTGACGTTGGGTGGCGCACCAATCAATCGCAGGAGAAAGTTGGACTCTTCGTCCATGTTCTCGAACTTGCCGATGAAGTCGTAGTCTATGAGACACGGGTTGCACAGCTGGTTGGCTTGATCCCAGTGGATGTCCATTCCCGCTGGCCGATGGACATCCAGAAGGTACTGCACAAATTCCTTGAACGTGACCCCGTTGCCCGTCTTCAGCGCTTCTAACGACGGGTTCACCCTGTATTTGGAGATGATGGGTTTCCCAAACAAGGAGTGGTAGTAGTTGTTAGGGTTCTCAAACTTGTCCCGGTACGCCGACACCATTCTCTCCAAGGGTTCTCGGACAAAAATGACTTTGGTGTAAGTCTCCAGACGGTGCATGATTCCCTTTCGGTCGAAGGAGTTGAGCTCCTTGAGGTGGTGGCCGTCATGAACTGTGTCGTGTTTGATGCTCTGAGCATTGGGAGACTTTCCCGCCAAAACCATCAGGGTCCTCTTCCAGTTGGAGCAGCCTGCCTTGGGCACCTGGCAGTACAATAACTTGTACTTGTCCTCCACAAAGAGGTTTCTCACGTGGTGGCCTGTGATGGTCTTGGAGATGCTGCTTTTGTACTTGGCGCACATCTCCTTCATCAGTTGCCGGCGCGCTTCCTGTATAGAGACAAGCTTTTTCCACTTATCAGGGGTGAAAGAGCCAGAAACAGAAGGGGGGGGGACTGAGGATGAGGGCAAGGAAGCAGACAAGGAGGATGACGAGGAAGAAGAAGAGGGCGAGGAATCACTTTTACTGTCGTGATGGACAGGGGGACTTGTTTTCAGCAGTTTGCGGTGTCTTTTGGAGACATTAAGGGAGGACATGTCCTGCTCCCGAGACACAGTTGTGGGCGTCCGTCTGCTCTGCTCTCTGGACCCAGGAGCAGCCGTCTGTTTACTCTTCTCAAAGTGAGGGAACTGCATCGGAGGGATCGGACTGGATATGATGACTTCTGTCACCTGGTGGTCCTGGTAATTGTCAGATTTGCCTCTTTCTCTCTCTTGCGTCGAGAGAGTCTGTAAACAAATGAGCAAAACAGATTGTAGTAGACAGTAGAAGACATGTGTTTGCACCAATCACATTTTTACATATATCTGCACAAACATAGAGTTAATACTTTGTACCTAATCAGGTTGTAAATCCAGCATTTGTGCCTGAAACAGCAACATGTATTCCCACACCCTGCCTGCAGTATTCACACAGGCCACTTGGTGGTGCTGTTTCACTACAGCTTCACCAAGGTCTAACTTTGTTACATGCTAATGTCACACACTATCCAATGCCATCCATGACCTATCCATAAACTGTATTGTAACATGAAATAAATGTCGTATAAACACCTAATGAAGAATGTAAATTGGACTCATCTACTGCCTGATTACCATCATGCCTCAGGCCATTATGCATTCTGACATTTTATTTCAATTAAATGCTGTAATGGCATCATAAAGCCAATGGACTGGACGTATAATTTTAATTTGACAACAGCCAGGGTGATGGGACCATCATGAATCTTGGCTCATCCCCCTCCTGACTTAAATGGCCATATAGTTTCATCTGCAGGGACATCTGGAGTGGGGGAGTGGTCCCTCCCTGTCTTTTTAATGTGCAGCAGATTTCTCCACAGCAGACGTCACGTTCTGCAGGCTTTGCGCTGATGTAAGGCTCTCATTGGTGCTGAGTATCAGAGAGGAGAGGCGGCGGGGGTCAGCTGAGAGCAGAGAGAGTACGAGCGCTGCATGTCTGACACAGAAACCTACTTCACAGAGTCAAACGTCAACTTATCTGTCCGACCCTGGGTGCTGTCACACATTAATAATGCTCTAATGCAGGTCAAGAAAAGTTACCCCCTGCAAAACTTAGAGGCTTCAAAATGTTTTTGTCGTTTTTGTTTTGTGGGTTTTTCTTTCTTTCAAGGCATAAGGTTTTGGTGTTGTATCATTTTGTTATTGTTAAGAATAAAGAATTTGTCTGCAAAATGCAAAATTGTGCGTCTGCAAAGGAATCGATAGACTGTTATCCAGTTAACAACTAATGTTTACAAAGCTTAAATGTATAAGAAGTGGTTGAATGTATTTAAGTATATTTACACAATAATTGTGTAATTAATTATTTAAACGTGGTGCCGACTGACCTCTGTTCTTTACGTTTGGTCTCTATGGTTACCCTAGTCTACAGGGATAGCACTGTTCAGTGCATATTCCTGGTTCTCACTTCTTTTTCACCTTTTCCCACTTTTTTTAGGAGAGTGCATTTACGTAGTCACGTTGTGCCTCTTCACTTTTACACTCTGGGGGTCAGAGTTCATATGGTGAGGGATTCCATTGGCGGTATGCGCCGGCCTGTGCCTTTACCGTGGACTTCTGGTAGAACTGCTCGGGTCTTGATAGATTGAGTGGGGAAGTTCATGAGACCTTTCTTGCAAATTTGAGGTACATGTTCATAACCCTAGTATTTCTTTACCAGTCACTTCATACATGTACTCCACTACAGTTCAAAGCAGAGTCAAACATCAACTTATCTGTCCGATCCTGGTAGCTGTCATACATCAATAATGCTCTAATGCAGGTTAAGAAAAGTTACCCCTTGCTAAACTTAAAACATTTTCTGTTTTTTTGCTGTTTTTGTTTGGTGGGTTTTTCTGTCTCTTTTCTTAAGGCATAAGGTTTTGGTGTCGTTTCATCTCGTTACTGTTAAGAATAAAGATATTGAAAATAAGAATTAGTCTGCAAAATGCAAAGTTGTGCGAAAGGAAGGGATAGTCATAAAACTGTTAAAGCAGCGTTCAGTTATTATGCTCCAAATATCTGGAACAAACTCCCAGAAACCTGCAGGTCCGCTGCAACTCTGACTACTTTTAAATCCAGGCTGAAGACTTTTCTTTTTGTCACTGCTTTTAATTGAACTATTCATATCTTAAACTGCACTGTAACTTTTATCCATGTACTTTTTTCTTTTAATGTTTATTTTATTAGCTTTTCTTTTTAATGACTGATTTTGCCATTTTCTTAATCTCTTTCATTTTTTGTAAAGCACTTTGAATTGCCTTGTGTTGAAAAGTGCTATATAAATAAACTTGCCTTGCCTTGCCTTGCCTTAACCAGTTACTACTAATGTTTAAAAAGCTTAAATGAATAAGAAGTGCTTGAATGTATTTAGCTATATTTACGCAAGTATTGTCTTTAGTGCACATTTGAGGTACATTGAACCACTACAGTTCAAAGCTAAAGAGTATGTGTTTTAGAAGCTAAACCAGCCAACAGTTTATGCCAGAATAGCCTTTTGATTGAGAGAGAATAAATAGGCACCTACCTAATTTATTTAGAATAATTTAATGTTTTGAGGTGATTTGTTATTATTTGTTTTTACATTTTATTATTTATTTTAGATTTGTCTGCATTGGGAACTTTTGCATTTAATAATTTGCTCCTCATACTTACTGACTTGTACTTAAGTTATATTTTCAATGCATAACTATTACTTGTTGTTGTGTACAGTATAAGTATTGGTTTGACTTCTACTCAGGATCTGAATACCGTTTTCCACCACTGTGATCAGGTGAGCTTCCTGTGACTTAACATTCATTTAGCTAATAAATTAAACTAACCAAAACAACAAGACAAGAAGTTACTGCTGAAGTTATTAAAGGACAAACCCGCCCAAAAACCTACAAGTGAGATCAAATTATTAACAGACCGACAGACAGAAATTTGGATTAACTTAAAAATAGATAAAAAAAGGTTTATATGATTATATGATAATAATAATAACAATACTGATAATAATTATAATTATAAATACTATAATAATTATAATGACTATTATCTTAATTATCAGTTTACATAAAAATAGGATGAGAAATCTGAACATGGACTTGTAGGAAATGATTTTAATTATTCTTTCTTATTTCATTTTCACCCGGGAAGAGGGTGTGTGTATACGTGTACATATGTATGTGTATGTATATATTGTTTATCTGTGTGAGTATTTAATTGCGGAATCATCTGTTTAAAAAAAGGTATAATGACATGATGTTAACGAGATACGGGGATGACGCTGTTTAATCATAACTGGGTGTTTGCAGTGTATTTATTTATTTGGTTTGTTATTTGATCTTTTCTTGAATATGATTGACCTCTGTTTTGTATTTCAGTCAGACAACTCACGTGTTTCTTTATATGTTTATTAGAAGCAGCATATAGTTGAGTTTGGCGTCTAGGCTCGGGCCTCATCACTCCACAGATATACAAAGCACGATGAGTGATGATTAGATAACGTTATGTATGAATGCAGCAAGTGCTCGAGTTGACTGCCTGAACTAGCTTATTTTAACTTATTTATTGGTTGTTTTATGTTTTTGAAGTATATATATGTTAATAATTTAGTTTTTGGGAAAAGGGGTGGGATTAAATAAGTGTACTTCTTCCCACCCCTTTTCCGATGTGTAATTAAGTAGATCATTTGTTTATACATAACTTAGAATCAGTCTATATATCAATTTGACAACGCTTAATTTTGTATTGTAAAATAATTGTTTTACACATTCTAAATAAATCTAATTAAATCAAATCAATCAAATCTTTTTTTTACTTCATCCTGCAACTGGATGACTAACGGGAGGGCTACCTCTGTATACGTTTTGCTTTCTGCCCTCCTGCTTCTACTAAGTTTGTTTGGTTTTTGGATGTATAAACTGTCGGTACCACTTTACAATAAGACTTCCCTCATAAAGGATTCATAAAGGGTTTATAATTAGGTTATGAATTAGGTTGTAAACACATTATTAATCCTTAAGAACCATTTATAAACCAGTTCTAACATAGATCAACACAGGCTCACTATTTGGCAAGAGGACTAAGCCTTATATTGGCTACTTAGCGAGAATCAACTCAGTGAGCAACAGATACCAAGGATGCTGGCTGATGAAGAAGACGAAGTAAGCTAGGTAGCCAATATAAGGCTTAGTCATCTTGCCAAATAGTGAGCCCACATTTGTCTGTACTGCTAAGTCTTATATTGGCTACCTAGCTTACTTCGTCTTCTTCATCAGCCAGCATCCTTGGTATCTGTTGTTCACTGAGTTGATTCTCCCCCATCCATCTTGATGTTTCTTGGCATCTCTTTATGACCATTTATTTACGAGTTACTAACATTTCAAGTTGCCAAAAGGGAGCCTTATTGTAAAGTGTGAAACAAATCACCATTTTTTAATGAGTTACTACCATTTCTAATAAGACTTAGCAGTACAGATACATGTGGGCTCACTATTTGGCAAGATGACTAAGCCGTATACTGGCTACTTAGCGAGAATCAACTCAGTGAGCAACAAATACCAAGGATGCTGGCTGACGAAGAAGATGAAGTAAGCTAGGTAGCCAATATAAGACTTAGCAGTACAGATACATGTGGGCTCACTATTTGGCAAGATGACTAAGCCTTATACTGGCTACTTAGCGAGAATCAACTCAGTGAGCAACAAATACCAAGGATGCTGGCTGACGAAGAAGATGAAGTAAGCTAGGTAGCCAATATAAGACTTAGCAGTACAGATACATGTGGGCTCACTATTTGGCAAGATGACTAAGCCTTATACTGGCTACTTAGCGAGAATCAACTCAGTGAGCAACAAATACCAAGGATGCTGGCTGACGAAGAAGATGAAGTAAGCTAGGTAGCCAATATAAGACTTAGCAGTACAGATACATGTGGGCTCACTATTTAGCAAGATGACTAAGCCTTATATTGGCTACTTAGCGAGAATCAACTCAGTGAGCAACAGATACCAAGGATGCTGGCTGATGAAGAAGACGAAGTAAGCTAGGTAGCCAATATAAGGCTTAGTCATCTTGCCAAATAGTGAGCCCACATGTATCTGTACTGCTAAGTCTTATATTGGCTACCTAGCTTACTTCGTCTTCTTCATCAGCCAGCATCCTTGGTATCTGTTGTTCACTGAGTTGATTCTCCCCCATCCATCTTGATGTTTCTTGGCATCTCTTTATGACCATTTATTTACGAGTTACTAACATTTAAAGTTGCCAAAAGGGAGCCTTATTGTAAAGTGTGAAACAAATCACCATTTTTTAATGAGTTACTACCATTTCTAATAAGACTTAGCAGTACAGATACATGTGGGCTCACTATTTGGCAAGATGACTAAGCCTTATATTGGCTACTTAGCGAGAATCAACTCAGTGAACAACAGATACCAAGGATGCTGGCTGACGAAGAAGATGAAGTAAGCTAGGTAGCCAATATAAGACTTAGCAGTACAGATACATGTGGGCTCACTATTTGGCAAGATGACTAAGCCGTATACTGGCTACTTAGCGAGAATCAACTCAGTGAGCAACAAATACCAAGGATGCTGGTTGATGAAGAAGATGAAGTAAGCTAGGTAGCCAATATAAGACTTAGCAGTACAGATACATGTGGGCTCACTATTTGGCAAGAGGACTAAGCCTTATATTGGCTACTTAGTGAGAATCAACTCAGTGAACAACAGATACCAAGGATGCTGGCTGACGAAGAAGATGAAGTAAGCTAGGTAGCCAATATAAGACTTAGCAGTACAGATACATGTGGGCTCACTATTTGGCAAGCAACCGGTCACAGTTGCCCTGTTTATCTCTTATAAAAGCTTATTAATGATTTATAAAGTGTTCACAACCTAATTAATAAATGAATTACAAACTATTTGTAAACCCTTTATAAGGGTAGTCTTATTGTAAAGTGGTACCAAACTGTCTAATTGTCGAAATAGTACAATAATAATACAAAATAAAACATCTGTAGGAACATAGTGTTGTTAAAGTGGGACTGTTTACTCAGTGAAGTCAGGCTGAAGGCACAGTGTGAGGTCGGCCTCTCTTCCCAGATACTATCAGACACGCTGAGAGCAACAACGCCGACAATCACTACTTTATTTTGTTACTATAAATAACAGTTGGGAGCAACCTGTGGATGTGTGTGCAGAGACGGAGTAAACACGTACCTCTCTGGACTGCCGGGGAGTGCTTCCAAGCTTCACGCCTGGGAGAGAGAGGAGACAAGAAAATTAGCACTTAGGTAAACAACATGTATTTTTCGTCCTTGAAGAAGAGAGTTGGGCGCCTCAGAAGCATCAGAGGCTGCAATAATTGAACACTTCCTATCACTTAGTAGACTCTTTTGATCCGTGGGAAAACCAGCAGTGCTTTACTCGTCCGCAGAGGGAAGACAGGTAGCTTTATCACGGTAATGAGATGCCACGAGCATGAAGAGTTGGTAAATGATGCTCAGTGAGGATAGACAGGGGAAGACATCTCAATAAAGAGGGGAATAGATGCAAGGAGGCAGTCTTAGAATCGAATAAGTACATTTACGTTAATAGACATTTGAGGTACTTAACTTTTTCAGTTCAACAGGATCATTTTGCTCCACTACATTTTGGAGCTAATATTGTACTTTTGACTACACTACATGTATGTGATAGCTTTAGTTACTTTGCAGCTAATACATATAAGCTATCAAACTTTACATAGAGTCATTCAAATTAACCACAAGCAAAATGGAAGTCTATATATTCATGCATCACTAATTAAAATCCAATTAATATCTGGTTATCAAATGGGCTCAGTCTGTAGGGACTTGTAGGGCTTGGAAATCGAAAGGTCTTGTACCGATTGGACCAATTACACAGTGTACACTGATAGCTAGAGAGGTGACAGTTTGTCTCATTCCCCTTCGCTCTGACACCTGTTACGACCCCCTCCACTCCACTCGGGGTCTCTGTCTGTGTGCTTCTGCTTGCTGGGTCTTAGGCCGTTTCTCAATCTCGAGGATACTGGCTTCCAAGCCAATATTTCAAGGATGCTACGTCATCGAGAGCCGCCGAAGGACTGTTCCAATCTCCAGCATACTTGGAATTCCACCGAGGCCGCGTCCTTGGTTTGGGGGACATTTCGAGGCTGCACATGGGTAGACTTCGCGTCCTTCAAATCCCCACAATGCTTTGCGCACGGACCAATTTAAAAAACCCTTGCGGGAAAGGTTGAACCGACGCAGCACACATTTAAATGTAAGTATGTGGTGGCGTAGAACATGTGTTGGTAAATATGTTACTTTGTTACATTTATTTGTTTTCACCAAAAATGTGTTCCGTGAAAGTAAAGCAAGTTCATAATTAGATAGACATCGTGAGGTATTTACTTTCGGTACAGTTTACGTTGAAACCGTTAGAGAGAGTGGCACACTTGTTAGCCTGTTCCATTCTTCTTCGTTTTCTGAAGCCGTGGCTTGGAAGCATACTGGCTTCGTTTCTGAAGGAAGTGACTTGGAAGTACGCGACTACCAAGCCAGCATCCTCGCGATTGAGAAACGGCTACAGTTTGAGTTTCAGGTGATCTAAGTCATTAGCCTGATGAGCCACACCTGAGAGGTTTGGATACAAAGCCATCAACCAGGGCGGGTCACTCTTCCTTCGGACACAGCTGCCGTTTTGTTTTGTTTCACACAACCATACATGCATACTCTACTTACTGACTTTCACGTTCGTTGTTGGTTTGTTAAGTTAAGTTTTGTAGTGTAGTGTAAATAAATATGTTTTTTGTTACACGTAAACTCGTCTTGTCTCCCATCATTGTTGCAGCTGGGTTGTAACAAATGGGGGCTCGTCCAAAAGGATTCCAATGTATTTGTATCTGTGCACATTAATGTGTATGAGTGCAGCTTGCTGATTGTAAGTGGTTTGATGAGCTGAGGCTGATTTCAGGAATCAGATCAGATTATTAGACAGGTGCATCTAGTTTGTTTTAAGAGGTGGGTAATCTGGTTGTTTGGGAGACATGGGCGAGAGTGGTGAGTAGTACTTGTTTTGGTTAATGTAAGCAGCTGTAATGAAATACAGAAGTGTATAGGTCCTGTTAATGCATGTGTGTGTTTCAGGCCGTGTGTTAATGTGAGCAGCTTTTATGAAAAATCATGAAAAATGATGTACGCCTCTGTGTGTGATGTTATGTAAACAACACAGGAGTGAAAGTTAAATCTCTCCTTGATAAGTAGTTTTACTTAATTTTTATGTTAACATTATTGTTCTTTTACTTAAAGGTGGGGTAGGTAATTCTGGAGAAACCAGCTCGAGTGGCTAGAATTTGAAAATACACAACCGGAAAAAATCTGCCACTTCCTCACAGAGCCCCTCCTCCAACACACACGAACGTGCACATGACCAATGAGGGCACGGGATAAGTTTGTGCACAGATGGAAGGCTGACAGGCAGGTAGGCCATCCAGTTACTTTAGCCGGGCCGGCTCAGATGATTGGTCGTGCTTTTTACAGCGCCACGGCTTCCACAGATGACGTTTTGTTATGGATTTGTTGTCAAAGCACTTCAGATATTCATTGCTATCAGGATGTTAAGAGCATTCCATGGAATATAACAAAAAGTGTATCTCGAGCCGGTTTCTCAAACTTACCTACCCCACCTTTAAGTACATTTTTAAATCAAGCAATTTCACTAGAGTATACTTTACACTGCTCCACTATTTTAGTACTTTTCCCACAACTACTATGAAGAAGAACTAAAAGACAGCCCCCAAAGAGAACCAAAGTTTGAAAAAGATGTAGTTTGCAGACGGGAGGAGAGACAGGGGCCGATTGAGTTAGCTGAGCTTCCAGAGGACAGCCGCAGAGTGATGGAGACGTACAGATTGGTTTTGTGGCAGCCTTGGGGACAGGTGCGATGTGTATTGGCAGATGTGCGTCAGCCGGACAGACGACATGTTTAGTGGTCTGTCTCCAGCTGGACATCTCCTTTCCTCAGGTCCCCCCGACCTGCTGATATATAATCAGGCTGACAGCTCTGAGAGGGGCTGCATGGCTGCTGATGGGGGGGGAGCGAAGACACATCTGCCTGAGTGGCCTGTCACTTCCAATTTGAGTTTGGAAGTGATAGGAACCTGCACGAGGGAGGGGTGCAGATGCAGGCCACAACCTTCCCTAAGTGATCAGCTCTGCAGAGCCCTATCTCACAGTTAAACACGCATCAGTGGGGAGGAACAGACCCGATGTTGTTTTACATTAGTATGCGCTGGAGAGCAGTGTCTGGCTCTGTGCATTGAATCTTCTCTCGTCTCCATTCTTCTCAACGAGACACTAGAGGAGGAAAATGAAGGGGATCGGGCTAAGAAGGCGGCGTGTGACATTTTCTAATCTTGTTTGCCGTGCCATTTGATCCCCTAACCCTTAATGATAGCTCGTGTAGGATGTGGAACTTTGATATCAATTTGCATTGGCGCGAAGAAAAATGCATGAATATGTATCACGACTCACACTGATGCCACCCCCGGGGAGACACATCAACAACAACGATGTCTCATTGTCATTCCGAACTGATGGAGCGGCACGAGCCCCTGGTAATCCTGACCATCTTGTAAAAATACACGCTCCGTCATTGATCTTGAAAAGCCTATCAGGGTGGTAATTGAAATCTCTGAGAAGGTTTAATTGGTTCCTTTTAAGAGGTGTTCGTCAGGCTGGTGATGTCTGGACTGTTCCCTTCAAGAGTAACACTTTTGAAATGTATTTAGTTTAATATTTGACATTTGTGTTAGGGGCTATTACCATACAATTAAGCGAGGTTTGTCCGACCCGCTGTATCCATATTTTAGATTTATTGTAAAAAGTCCAAATAGTATCCATACATGACGTTCTTGTAAAAACAAAACAAAAATAAACAGTTGCAATCGTGTCGCCATTGAGATTCTGTGCGATCATTTGCGTTTGAGGTGAACAGAAAAAAGGCTGCCTATATTTCCCACCTCTTCGTAACAAACAAAAACATATGATGGTGGGGGTGATTTGAATTAACTTGTGATGTACACACACACACACACACACACACACACACACACACACACACACACACACACACACACACACACACACACACACACACACACACACACACACACACACACACACACACACACACACACACACACACACACACACACACACACACACACACACACACACACACACACACACACACACACACACACACACACACACACACACACACACGAAAATATTTACTCGTGTTTTCTTTTCTATTTCAAAGTAATATTCAGTAACCTTTCCTGAAAGTGTGTTATGTAGCATCCCCTATAGTTAAACACATGTAAAAACAAAGCACCATTTTTTAGAAATAGCCAGCTTTAAACTCCAGTAAAATCCCCCCCCCCCCATAGAGAATGCAATCATGTTTGTGCTATTAGTTTTGCACATTCAGATACACACCTGTTCTGTCTGCACGATTCAAATCTAAAATCTGAAAACAAAACAAAAAAGCCTCTCATTTCTGTACAGAGCACTTTAAAAGGGTTGGTTTATCTGAAGCTGATGTAGTCGCAGGATTCCTGCTGTTCTGAATTTGTTTCCTCAAGGTTGAATTCAAAGCATGAGAGAAAGGAAAACAAATGTAATGTACTGTGCGTAATAGCTAACCTTCACTATAAGCAAAAGAAAGAGTTCTATTATTGTAAATCCGGACTTGCTAATTGAATGATGAAGAGTTTAATGACGGAGAGGTTTCATGAGCAATGTGTCCTCGCACTATAGTCCCTGTTGTGGTGAATAACATAAAGGAACTTCATTTTGTTATACAACCCTGTGTTGTAGTGTGACGAATAAATACAACTTCTCCCTTGTAAATCAATGCGGTCTGATAGTGGGCGAATGTAACCCCTTGGCGCTTTTCGTTATGCAGCGACCCTGGCAGTTCTTTGTTAAATTATATTCAAGCCCAGGGCATTGAAGTGAGCGCACAGGACACCCAGTCGTCCTTCGGCACTCTGTGACAGCGGTGTCTTGTTAAAACTGATTTGAAAGCGAATCTGACATGGCTTGATTTGATTTGATGAATCCAGCCTTTACAACACAACATAGTGAATACATTCTGTCTCTGAAATGCATTTCTCACTCAAGTGGGGAGCCAGAATTACATTTCATGAGAGGGACATGTTTCCATGAAACTGAAACAAGAAATATAA